CCCCAGAGTGGAGGTTTGGAGAGGGGGCCCCCAGTCCCTCTGAGGGGCCCCCAGGTGAGTGCAGCAGACCCTCTCCAGGGTGGAATTTGGGGAGGGGGCCCCTTCAAGGCCCTCCGGGGGGCCCCTAAGTGAGTAAAGATATGAAAGCATGCATGGGCAGAATGCATTTGCTGCTGAAGAGTCATGGGCAGGCTTGAGAAACGCCAGAGAGAAACACACGCACAGAGACTGGGATAAGGGAGCACACGAGCCCTAAACCCTTAACCCTAAACCCTAAACCTTACACCCTGGGAAGCACGGCACTTAGGAACATGCGGCGAAAACGACAGACCAACAAAAAGGCAAAAGAGAAGGGGGAACGAGCAGATCTCCAAGACAAAGAAAGCCCCAGCAGCAGAACTTTTCAGAGAAAGAATACACAAAAAGATACAGCTTTCTCACTGCAGGGTCCAGAGCTGGAGCCGTCGTGGAGTCCAAACAAAGCAAAGAATGCAGCCACTGTTCAATTGCGTCTCCTGCTGCGTAGCGAATGGGGACTTCGAGAGAAAGTTCCTTCAGCTGCCGCTGGGGTGTACGTACACCGTGGCTCCCGGGGGGGCCCCTCAACCCCCGCCGCAAATCCGCCAACAACTTCAAAGAAAGAGATCTCCCCGTGCCTTCATATCCATTTACTGTCGAAGACAGCAATACAATGTAAGGGCCTGCGTGCAAACAGAAGAACCCCAAACCCTAAACCCTAAACCCTAAACCCTAGCTGTAGGCGGGAAGCGAAGCTGCTCAGCAGCTCTGGGGCCCCAAACCCTTCCGTTTCTGCAGCCGAGAGCGCTCTGGACGCAGACCCAAACCCTCGCCCACCTCCAAACCCCAACCCTAGACCCAAGCGCATCCCCAAACTCTAGACCCTAAACCCTAAACCCTGCGACTCGCCGAGAAGCCTTTTAATGACCGGCAGCGGTATGGAGGCCGCCTCATCCACCACGAGAAGGTCCGCGTTGATGAGGCTTTGCTGCTCGTGGGGAAAAATGAACTGTACGCGCTGTCTGTGGTGTCTGTACACCTCAATTCGAGTCACCGCCTTCACAGACTGCTGCTGATATAAACCCGAAGCTGCTGCTCCAGACAAGTCCGCGCCTTTGGGGCCCCGGCCCCCAGTCCCCACGGTCTCCAGGGTCACTTGGAAGTCCCCCTGCTCCCGCAGGCCCATGGCCTTCAGGCCCTGCAGCAGCAGCAGCAGCAGCAGCAGCAGCGGTGAGACAGGGGGCGCAGCAGCTGCGGCCAGAGCCCACCGACGCACACGCGTCCCACACGCGGCGCCTTGCCGCGCAGCTAGCCTCAAACCCTAAACCCTAAACCCTAAACCCTAGGCGGCGCAGCGCCTGGTGGAACTCTCTGCTGCAGCGCTAACCTTTTGGACGAATTCGAAAAGGGTTTGGACATTTTCTGCTTGTGGGGCGCAGATGAAAATGCTGCTGACTCCCAGAGAGACAGCAGCAGCAACAGCGAGCCCGAGAGCAGCAGACTTGCCCCTGCCTCTGCCTGCAGTGAGGGCCACGGTCTGGTACCCTTCGCCCCCTTGGGTCCCCCCGTGGGGCCCCCCCTGGGGGCCCTCCTGGGGGCCCCCTTGGGGACCCTGCTGGGGGCCCCCCGAGGTGTGGCTCCTGCCGCGGAAGCTCTTGCAGCTGCAGAGGCAGTCG